CATCGTGAAGCAAATTTTTCCTATTAGAACATCGTTTTGCGATCACAAACACCTCCTTGTTAAGCAGTTTTGTTATTTAACAAGGTAATTGTTAAGCAAGGCACTACTGTAGATCTTCTTCTTATGCCTATCTCAGGTAACAGTGTTAAGCAAGGCACTACTGTAGATCTTCTTATGCCTATCTCAGGTAACAGAATCTTCACTGCCTCCTTTATTCTACTTGATCAAAGTTGAGCACTGTTTCCCTTTGGATAGAAGGCAGAGGCAAAATAGGTATTGAGCAATTCTGGTTTCTCTTTGTTAACATGTCAGCATTTCTCTGTCCTTTCCATAGAGTGGACCACTTCATCATTCTTCCTCTAAGCATAGCTGGAAATCTGTTTTTTCTGATTTTAACCTGTCTTGCAGGTATGAGCAAATTCAGGCTGTGGCTCCCAGTATTCCTTACCTTTGGGGTTGCAACTCAACATGTTTGAAAGGCTGCATGTCACAAAATGGCAAAACAAACAAAAATAGGTAAAGGCTGCACATAAATGGAAGTACGGTCAAACTGACGAAGCATCAGTTGTGAAGGCAGGAACATATCCTACAGATCAGTGGTTTCCAACCTTGAGTAACCCAGGTGTTCTTGGACTGCAACTCCCAGAAACCCCAGCCACCATAACTGGTGGTGAAGGCTTCTGGCCATTGCAGTCCAGGAAAACCTGGCTTGCCAAAGACTGGGAAACATTGCCATCGATAGTTAGAAGACCTGATCTTATGGTGGACAGACAGCTCAGTGAAAACTGCAACCTGATTTGCAGCTGCTGTGAAAATGGACATTTCCACACAAGAAAGGGGGCCAAAATAAAACATCAGCGATTATAATGATTTTATACATATATGATGCAACCATTTCCAATCACCATATATAAAAAAATGGTAGAGCTTGAGAAACAAAAGGAAAGCAAGGGCTTTTCTAAGAGGTGTATTTGCTCATGTTGAATTAACAGGTACATCACTAGGTGGTTTTGATATATTTTTTCTCCTGCAGTCCAGATAAAAGCTAATCCCATCATGATCTGTGGCTTTTCCTATTCTTTTCTGCATTTTTTCTTACTAGCCAAGGGTACTATTTATTTTGTTCCAGACTTTGTAAAAGCTGGCAAAGTTTAACACTATGGCATGTTGAGCAGGAAGTTCATTTCCTCTTTAGAGGTTCCTGACTGGATGTTTGTGCTTCTGGGGGACTTCAACATCCATGCTGAAATGGCAGTGTCTGGACCCGCACTGAAATTTCTGGACACCATGACCTCCTGAGGCCTATCCCAGCATGTCACTGGCCCCACATATGTGACAGGACACACATTGGACCTGGTTTTCTCAGTGGAGCAGAAAGATGCTGGCCTGAGTGTGACAGATTTGGACATGTCCCCATTGTCATGATCGGACCATCACATATTGAAAATTGGGCTGACGATGGCACCATGGGGAGACTGGACCTATTAGGATGATCCACTGTCACAGACTACTGGATCCAGATAGTTTCCACAATGTCTTGGGAGGGTTTTCAGCTGATCCTGTCAAAGCTCAAGTTGCTGCATGGTATACTCAGGAAACTGGGAGAGTTGACATGGTCGCACCCAAATGCCCTCTCCAGTGCTGAGCCCTTCCCGCTCCATGGTTCACAGTTGATCCTCAGGGCAATGAAGCAACAGAGGAGAAGATTAAAGTGGATTTGGAGTCAGATTCCTTCAGAGAAAAACTTGGCCACAGTAAAGCAACTGTCTAACAGATACGCTATCATAAACAGAGCTGCAAAAAGAGTATATAACATCAATTGAATCAGTGAGTCATCCAATCAACAGCTGAAACTGTCTTGAGTAGTTCGTGACATTGAGTTTGGACAATCAAATTGGCTTCAGTCTGTAGATGTTTTCTGATGCAATTTGCAGCCTATTTTAGATGAAAGATTGAAGCCGTCCAATGGGATCTAGATTTCTTCAATGTTTGGGTAGATAAGGTTGAAATATCCAGTGAAGTGTCTAGTCCAGTTTTATTGAAGCAGTTTCAGCCAGTAACATCTGAAGGGGTCTTCAGGGCAATTTCTTGCTGGAAGCCCACCTCTACCATGTCTTGATCCTTGATCCTAAAGGAAACTATTATTAGGCCCATTCTTTAAAAAGTCAAATTTAGTAACAGGCAATCTGAACAACATTAGGCCTGACAAAAAGATTCCATTTACGAGCAAGTTGATTGAGAGGGTGGTGGCAGATCAGTTGCAAGCATTCGTGGAGGAAACCAACATGTTAGATCCTTTCCAGTCTGGGTTCAGGCCACATCGAGCACAGGAAAGCAGGCTTTTTTGACCCCATCAGGACACTGAGGTAAGTTGGCAGCAGCAAAGTAGAGTGTGTTGCCCCATTGGGCACTGAGGTAGTTGACAGCAGGAAAACAGGCTGTTGGAAACAGATCAGCTCTGCAATCTGAAGCGGGGTGATGGGGAGACAAAGATGCTCATTTAGAACTTGCAACTTGGCTGCTGAGACCGCCCAGATAGCTGTGTGCTAAGTCCCTTTCTCTATTCCCTGTACACACATGATTTCACCCCACTCTATAATATCAGCGCAATTATTTAAAAAGCTCTACAGAGAACCATTAAAATTGCCAGAATATCATTGGGCTCCATCTATCAACCGGCTTTGCCCATTGGGTGTATAGTGACAGAAATCTTCAACACTGATGAGCAAGAGGGTGGCGTTTGCCATCAAGGTGGTATATGAAACAGAAGCCTCCAGAAAGAATTAATTATTTCGTCAAGTATGCTATTTTTGACTACCAGGAAGGGCTTGGGTCGGCCCAGCCCTCTTGGCACGGGGAAGCCAGGAGAACAGCTTTGGAAAAACCAGATGATCAGCTCTCCAGTCTGAAGCCATGCAGTGGTGTTGTTTTGTTATTGATGAAGAAAAGGACTGGTGGTGGTTGTTGGCACAACATAAATCCTGCAGTCTCAAGCCACCCGATGGGGCAACACCTGTACAGGCTTTTGGGTCCCATCGGGGCAATGAGGTAAGTTGGCAGCAGCAAAGTAAGAGTGTGCTGCCCCATCAGGCACTCAGGCACACAGCAGCAGGAAAGGAGGCTTTTGGGCCCCATTGGGGCACTGAGGCAAAAGTGCATTGGTTGATTTGACATGGAATGACCCTGGTTGACAGTCTGTTTTGGGGCTCAATTATAAGTGCTGGTTATTATCTATGAAACCCTATACAAAAAGATACTATGGTCGATAGTATTGGAAGCCATTGAGAGGTCTAGCAAAACCAACAGGGAAATACTTCCCCTGTCCAGTTCCCAGCATCGGTGACCTGTTTTGTAACCAGGCCTGAAGCTAGATTGACATTGATAAGTGATCCACACCATCCAGGAACCTCTGGGGCTGGGATTCCACCACACGCTCCAAACCTTTGCCCAAAAATGGACTGTGGGAGACTGGTCAAAAATTATCCAATACAGTGGGATTTGAGGAGGGCTTTTTAGGTATAATGGCATCCTGTCCTGCTGCAAGGAGGCATTCACCACCCCCTGAATCCACTCAGCCAGTTCCCCCCCCCCGCTACTTTTATAAGCCAGGAAGGGCAAGGGTTCAGAACACTCCAAACATCCTATCCACATCCTCAGGCTGCACCAATTCAAACATATCCATTATAACTAGGACAAGCAGGGGCTATTTCCCCCTCTTTGTAATATTTGAGCCTTTATATTACCATTGAATTGTGATTCAATAATTAAATTAACTATGAACAAATATAAGGCTCTGCCCACTCCAGAAATGAATTATTGAGCTTCGCCACTGCAGTTCCTCTCAGGACACTGGGTATAGATTTGCAGTCTAACTGTTGGCAATAAATAGATTGGTCAATATTTGAGGATTCAGGTGCTCATTGCTACCTCTTTCTCTCACACTTCAGAGCAGGGGTAGAGAAGGTATGGTCCCTTGAACTGCAACACCCATCCCTGCACGACCAATTATGAGAAATGGTGGTGGTTGTTACATGTTTTGACTTACCCTATGAATGAGCAATCTCTAAAATGTCCCTGTCTTCAGCAGCCTTAATTCACCTTTTGTAAATTCAAGACTATGGAGTCAATCAATCTCATTTTTGGTCTTCCTCTTTTCCTGCTGTCTTCAACCTTTCCTAACGAAGACGGTGGTAGGATATTTCAAATCTGGAGAGTGACCGTTGCACACCCCTTCTTTTACAGTCATCCTGACATGGGGAACAAACAGCATTTATATGCATGGGCTAACGACACATTATTCTACTACCACTCAGAGAGAGGCACTCAGCTTCTTGCATTTCCCTGTCCCCCAGAAGGCAAGTAGAACAGGTAAAGGCAGGTATACCACCTTCTGAGGCCCAAAACTGGAAGGCCTTGTGGGGAAAGTATTTTTGAAATACACATCGAACCACACACAGCTAGGAGAACTTTTCAGCTGTGTTAGCTGGGTGCTGAAGTTTGCAAATTGTCCAGTCACTGTCACTCCATAGCACTACTTCCCATAGGGGTATTATTTTAACAAATAAACGTTTAGATGTATCTTTTTAAAAAATTTATATAGAACGCCCCTCTTGGTTGTAATAGTTTGTGTGTAAATATTTTACGGGTAAATCCAAAGCGCATCCCTCAAAAGAGGGATCGCTTAGTTTACAGGAAACCCAGATCAGCAGAAAGGATGAACAAGTTGGCCCAAGATCAAAAATCACGCCTGAGGAACAAAATACAAAACGGAGGCTGTGCTGCTTTGGGCACCTCTTGAGAAGGATAGACTCGCAGGAAAAAAGACAATATTGCTAAGAAAAGTGGAAGACGGCAGGAAAAGAGAAAAAACAAATAAGAGATGGGTTGACTCCATCAAGGAGGAGGGTCGCTCACTCATAGGGTCGCCATAAGCTGGAGGGCTCTGGACAGCACCTAACAACAAATCCCAGCAGGGCGACTAATACCGAGAAGCCACATAAGGACCTTGCGCTTCTGTGGGAGAAACTGAATTTTCCGACGGTCCCTCATTCTTCTCCTTTACTTTTTCCCCTCCTCCCCCTGGACGGTCTCTGCTCCTGCTGCTGCGTCAGGGTTTGTCTTTTGGGTGACGCTCCCTCAGAGGTCAGTCACTCAGGTAAACAGCCAAAATGGCGGCGGAGCGGCTGTCGGTTCCTTCTCCAGCGGCCATGCAAGACAAGGAGCCTGAGGAGACGGAGGCCGGGGAGCGAGGCGCGCCGGCGGCCGGGCCTGAGCTACCTCCCGGCTCCCTCAGCCTGACCGAGCTGCCCGGCGAGCTGCTGGAGCTCATCCTGTGCTGCGGGGTCCTGAGCGCCCTCGACGTGGGCCGCCTCGCCTGCACCTGCCGCCGCCTGAGGGAGGCCTGCCAGCCCCGCGGGAAGGTCTGGAGGGAGCAGTTCCGACTCAGGTGGGAGGGCTCGGGGGGAGGCCCCCCCCGTGGGGCGGTGGGAGCCTGAGGCTCGAGAGGTTCGGGGCTAAGCAGCGGCCGTGGAAGGGAGAGAGTGCCCTTGAACATGGGCAGAGCGCTTCGTTTGCCTCCGGCGCGCTTTCCATGGGTCCCATGGCGTTAACGTCAATATCCTGGCTGTTTTCCCCCTTGAATTCTATTGAACTCCATGCATGGCTCCCCCCCCACACACACCCCATAGCAATTTTGGCAAGTTGTTGGATCTCTGAAGAGACTGTGACTGGCGGGAGGTCTCTTAGTGAGTTTCATAGCGAAATGAGGATTTGTACTGTAACATGTACCCAGGCGTCCAGAATAAATAGTCGTTATTTAACCACAACAGCACACTGTGTAGAACAGCGAATTCCCACACTCCTGTATCATTGGCAGTACAGGCGGAGGATTCTGGGAGTTGAAGTCCAAAGCCTCTGGAGTGCTAAAGGTTCCTCACTCCTGGCTTCCGGGGAAGTCGTGCCTTCTAGGAGTGTAGCCTGAGATGGCCAGGAAGTTTTCAGACATTGCTGTGGCATTCAGGTTACATAGTACATGAAGAGTAAGAGTGGGAAAGTAAGGCAAGAGATAAGCCATATGGTGGAATTTCAGGCTCAAGAGGAATGTGTAGTTACTGGAAGGGTGTGCAGGTCTGTGAGTGCACAAGCTGATAAGCAGTTAGGATGGCCAGGTGAGAAAGAGGTTCCTGTTATAATTGCTTGCTCCTGTAATGGTTGCTTAGAAGAATTGTTGGCAAGTGTAGATTGTATTTATAAGCCAGAGAATAAACCACTACCCAAAAATACCCTTCCACATGCACAAAAATACCCTTCCACATAATACAAATATCTACACAACTGAGGCAAAACAGTTGGACAGCCATCTGTCCGGCATGATATGAAGTCCAGGATGGTATGAGGTCTCCTGACGTAGGCCAAGGGTTGGACTTGAAGACCTCCAAGGTCCCTTCCAATCCTACGACAATTCTATGATTTTGTGAAAACACTGCACTGAAAATGCACCCAATAGGTTGCCACTTCTCCTAGAACTGTCACCGAAGCTACCAACATGAATTTGGCCAAACTCCAGGAGGCAGTGGAAGACAGGAAGGCATGGTGTCTTCTGATCCATGAGATCACAAAGAGTCAGACACAACTTAACAACTAAACAACAACTAGAATAAAAGTAAATAAAAAAGCAGATGCACATAAAACAGTTGTCTTTATTCTCAACCTCCAAGATACTCCTTGTTATCCCTTCTATATTTCCAAGATGCTTTCCACCATCCCAACTTACTCTTTTCTTTTTTGTGAGCAACTTGGTATATTGTAAAAGACTTACTGGGCTGCAAATATTTAATATGTTTATGCTCTTCCTTTGTTATCCATTTGGATCAAGAGGCATTCTTCCAAATGAAGTTAATACTGAAGGGCATTGCACTAATGTGTAGCATAGCCACTGCCTGTTTATTTAAAAAAAAGACACTAAACAAACTGAAGGTGAGGAGCCTACTGATCACTGAGGAAAAGGGGAAGTGGAGTAATATTTTTACAGATTTCATACATATTTATCAGTCTATGAGAAGAGTGTTTCTTTTCTATAAATTAGTATGTCTGGGTTGCTTTTCTGTGTATGAATGCAGTTTTGTTGAACAGAAACTTTTTTGTGATAAGGAGATTGGTGAACAAACCAGTTTATCTCTGCTAAATACTCTGCAGTCACTCATCCCACAGTTATACAGTAGTTGAATTGTTTGCTCTTTGAAGTCAATGTAGGTCATACAAAAAGGTGTTCAACAAAACAATGCAGCAAGTAACTTCCTTGCTGTTCATGATAACTAAACAATGCATGCATGGTGCAGTACTGTTCATGTTGAATTGCAGCTGTTTGGCCTTTGTATCAGAACCCAGTATTGCAAATCCTTCCAATTGTTCCAGGGTGCTCCTTTGTTAAGGAACAAATGTTATTCCCGTTATGAAGTTTAAATTGTTTTAAGTCAGGCTCCCTACAGCTCATGCAGTAAGCCAGTGGTTCTTAACCTTTGTTACTCAGATGTTTTTGAACTACAACTCCCAGAAACCCCAGGCAGCACAGTTGGTGGTGAAGGATTCTGGGAGTTGCAGTCCAAAACTCCTGAGTAACCCAAGGTTAAGAACCAGTGCAGTAAGCCATGCAGCCAGTGTGTGGTGGTAGTTGCAGGCTAACATATTTAGAGGGTACTCAGTTGAGGAAGACAGCCTTAAAATAACAGCTTAAAGATGTACTGGGCTTGATCCTTTACCTTCCAATTTCACAGAGGAGATGAGCCACAGAACAGTTTTAGTTGGCAGAGAAGACCAGTGTGGGAAAGATTTGACTAGGTGGAAGAGATTGCAAGAAGAGTAGCAGTAGGTGCAAGATGGCAGTTGTTGAACTCCCATCTTTTTCCCATAGAAAAGGTGTATAGTCCAGGGAAGTCCATAAGCAATGCTTGAAGGCAATAGCTTTCCAGCCATTCAGCAACTAGTATTCAGAGGTACACTATGGGCTAGTTACCATAATTCATTTTTCATGACTGATCATAAGTAGACTTTTCTATTTTGTCTTTAAAGCTGTCAGTAGCCATCAACACGTGTGACAATGGATTTTGTAAAAGGCATGTTAGATGACAAAGTTTTGGGGATAGGGAGGGTCAGCTATCATTTGATTGGGTGATGCAAATTTGTGTTATCATGAGACAGGGACAACAACTGCCCTATTTTTCCCCACATCTGTAATTGTGCAGATTAGATCATTGCTCATATATGTTCCTTTTATCAATGTGAACCTGAGTCTGGTTGCCCTTTTCCAAAGCTACAGTATCCTGTTGAGATGGATGATCATAAATATCCATACTAAAGCAATGGCAGCAGCATCCTACATAGATTTGCTGGCTGCCTTGTTTTGAAATAATGCCTTCCATGGTTCTGTTGTCTGTGCTGCATTGTCTTTTACAGACCTGTCCACCGTGATATCAAAGATCTCTGTCTTAGTTACTCATTGCCATTTCAGATCTTAAATGAGATTATTATTGCTTGCTCCATTATATATTTTACTTACTTTGTGCCTGCTTTCTTTTAACTTTATGTGCTTTTTGCTCCTGGTTTGGAGAGAATAATAAAAACATGCTTTTATTTTATTGTTAACTCATGATTGTACTCTTGTGTTGTTACTAAAAACTATAGTTGCATTCTGTGCCCCTGAACATTCATTGTTGCTTCATTCAGTGAGGATGGATTAGACTATGCAATTTTCTTTATGGACCAAATAATTCTTCCATTGGAGGAACATGGCCCTGCTTTGTTAGTTGTTACAGCAACTGTTTATTTTAGAGCAATGAATAAAAAATAAATCCTCTAACTGAAATTGCAGTGGGGATTTAAAGACACTGAATGTAATTACTCAAGATGGAGTGAGGCCCGAAGTACTGGGGTCAGTATCTTTGCTTCTTCCAAATAGTCCAGTGATCAAAGAAACGCCTGTTTTTGGAATACAGGCTTCTATTATTGCAAGCCCATAATGGCTGTCACAATTGGATTTGAGTCCTTACAGGCTTAGCATGACTGCTGACTTGATAAACTCAAATTTGGAATCACAGGCACAGTCTGGAAAGCAATCCAGAGTTACAGCTTAGTGAATTAGTGAACTGTCCATTGTTCAGCAGTGTCACAGGTGTGGAGAGAATCTCTCTTCCTTTGAACTGTTCCATCTAGTTTTACAAGCCAGCTGGCAATGAGAAAAAGTGATAGAATTTGTCTTCCTCTGCCAAAATGTGAACAAAGCCAGACTGTGTATGAACTTTGTTCTCAGTGAAAGACCATGAATAGAAATTGACACATATCTGTTCAATTCAGTTGAAGTGACTAAATGTGTGTATTAGTATGAATTGTTACACTTATATTTTGTTCTCTGATGAGCATGTATATTTTTGTCCAAGTTATGTGTAGCCTGGACTTATAACGTATATGTGTGTGTGATTATAAATGTGTGATTATATTTTGTTCTCTGATGAGCATGTATATTTTTGTCCAAGTTATGTGTAGCCTGGACTTATAACGTATATGTGTGTGCGATTATAAATGTGTGATTATATGTGATTATGTGTGTGTGTGTGTCTGATTATATGTGATTGTATGTTCCGTGTGTGTGTGTGTGTGTGTGTCATTATATGTGATTGTATGTTCTGTCTTTAACTGCTTTCATCTGTTTTGACAAGAAGTCACTATAGACAAAAAAGCAATGCTGAAAAATCTGAACTAAAATAATAAAAACTAAAACTTTAAAAGCCACTTGAACAATGTTCTTCTTATGTGCTGTCAAGTCACTTCCAACTTACAGCAACCCTAATATGCTTTTCACGGAATGTGTAATATTCAAGGAGTGGTTTACAACTCCCCTGGGAACATTCTATGGCCAAATGAGGATTGGAACATAGGTCTCATATTGAGACACCAGTTAGAAACAATATTTACTACAGCACTATGGCTCTCATTTAGATGACAGCACAATAAAATAAATTTAAAAGCCAGGTTGAATAACTGTATTGTAACATATTGTAACATGTTTACCTAAAGCCAAGAGTTTGGAAAACAGGTGAAATTCTAGAGAGTATGTGCTCCCCAATTTGAAAGTGATATAGGAAAATGGCCTTTCTTACATATTTGCAAAACAGGCTTCTCTTCTTGATCTTAATAAATGCATGGCTACATAACAGGACTGCTTGATAGCTCAGTGGTTTAAGCATCAAGCCAGAGGTTGCGAGTTCGATTCTCCACTGTGCCTCCTTGACAGAGGCTGATTGTGATGACCCATAGGGTTCCTTTCAGATCTGCAGTTCTAAAATGATTATTGTAATCAGAGCAGCTATGTGGCATCATTGCCAGAGAAATGCAAGGTTCAGTGTCTAATGATACACCTTATATAGGAAACATATTTTCTTGCACAAGGCTGGACAGCATAGAAATATAGGAAGTTATATTACACCAGGACGTACCATCAGTCATGGTTAAGTGAAGCATGGTCCCGAAATCGTTAAGCGAAAATCGCCCATAGGGAAAATCGTTAAGTGAAGCACAAGATCGCTCTGAAAAAGCCATCGTTAAGTGAATTTTTCGTTGTACGAAGCAATCGTTAAGCGAGGCACCACTGTATAGGAAGTTATATTACACCAGGGCATACCATCAGTTCATCTAGCTCAGCAACAAGGATTTGCACAGGTTTCCAGGGCTACAACAAAGTTCTTCCTTTCCTACTAGAGTAGGAAACCTGGGACCTTCTGCATGCAAAGCAGATGTTCTACTGGTGAGGTCTAGCACTTATTCACAGCCTTAGCTTATGTGTGTCTATCACGCTGTGTCCAAAATCCTGTTGTGTATATTCACCAGCCTTTAAGTGGTGTAACTCACAGTTGCCTTTAATTGATGAGTTTACACTTGGATTCCTGGTCACATATTGAGACACCCAAATGATGCTGAAGAGGAGGAGTCATTACTTCATGCAAGTTTGCAGCCACTATGCCATAACCCTTCCACTGGTATAACTGTGCAACAGGATTTTAGTCCATGTGTAATTAATTTTTGAAAAATAAATAGCTGACTTGAGATAGACTGAGCTAGATTGGAAGTGCTGTGTTGATATTTTGCCCTTTACCCATCTCAATCCAGTTCATCTCCCCCTTTCAGTCAAAGGCGGTTTCATATTTTCTTTGAGTCACAGTTTTATCTTATCCCTGAGATCATCTTTATTTTACAACACTGGAAGCGGTAGGCAGATTTAAGACAATTAATATACCGTATTTTTGCTCCATAAGACGCACTTTCCTCCCCCCAAAAAGTGGGGGAAGGAGTCTGTGCATCTTATGGAGCGAAGGCAGCGATTTTGCCCCCACTGGTCCGAGTGAGCCTTCCAGGACCCTTGCGACGCTCCCCCACCCCCCATGGGGCCAGCATGGGCAAAATCGCTAGCTTCAAGGACCTTTTCCTGGAAGCATGCGATTTCACCCCCGCTGGAGCCATGGGGGGTGGGGTGGGGGA